AATTTTTTTTTTTTTTTTTTTCTAGGCAAAATTCGTTTAACTTAAAAGTAAGACCTTTCTTGTTTATCAAATTTTGCTTTAAAAAATAGGAAATCATGGTTACGTTTTTTTAAACATGTAACCAAACGTGTGCTTAGTAAAATAGAAAATGAAATCAAATCACGTATTTTTATTTTCTATCGGTTTTCAGTTTATTGTGACAACTTTTTATTTGAGTTATAATTTAATTTTGAACGCTCCTTTTATTAAGTAAAAAAAAATTATTAGTATTTAAAGTTTCATTCATAAATTAACATTATTAGTACCACGAAAAACACAGGCAGTGTCATGTTATTGTATTCGCCTTTTTAGTGGTATAATTAATCTCTTGTGTCCGTATTTTTATTGGTGTAACTCGTCTATTAGGCTAACGTCTATTGAGGTAATGTATTTTTATTGCACTAAAATTTATATTTATAATTAAATTTTTTTATTATTCGTTAAAGTGTATATAAATTTTAGTGTGATACTACAAAAATTAAAATTTTTATTTATACACATTTGTGAAAGAATTATTTTTTCTAATACAAGGAGAATGAGTGATTTTAGAAATTATTTAAACTAAGATGAAAATATACCATTATAAGTGTGTGGTATGAATTTAATTAGAAGTGAAGCTGTCTTAAAAAAAATGTTAACTGAAAATAAAGTATAGCTTTATATAAAGTATTGTAAAATAATATTGACCTATTTCTTTTAAATCTATATATAAGCAAAAGATATTCAATTTTTTTTAACTAAAGTAAATTTTAATCAAGACAATATGATTTAACGTTGTTAAATAAAAAATATCCCTAAAAAATTAAATGGGAACACAATCTATTATACGTGTACTTAATAATATTTAGTAAATATAGTGTATATTTTATGTGAAATTAAAAAAATTAAATATATTTAATTAACTATCTTAATTTATGTGAAATTGGTATATAAGTTTAGAAGGAGTACATGTTAATTTCAGTTTAATATATATTTTTTTTAAAAAAATACACATCTATTTGGATACATTTTGTATTTCTTAAAAAAAAAACAATTAAATTTAAATATACTTATTATTTAGTAAAAAAAAAGACTCAAATGCTAGTCCATTTGCACTTTTATCCTCACATTAAAAAATCATATCGGTCTTGTACACCTTTTACTCCTTGTGTGTAAAATCTTATGTATTGGTCTCTCATTTCATGTGGAAGATTTGGCATAATAGATTTTGCTTTTAATCCTAAGATAGTGATGACACAATATGCATTTTTTTAAACTTCATATCGTGTTTCATTTCATGCTTTGTCTTGTTTGTAACACTGTTTTTTTATATATATAAAAAAATCATTTCATGTTAACTCAAATTCTTTAATATTAGAATATATATATATATATATATATATATATATAAATATTTAAAATTTTATTGATCTTTTTTAATATATGATTGTCAATTTTCGTCAAAAATTCTTACATTTTCGGCAAATATAAATTTATTGAAAATATTCTATCAGTAATATAACTTTTCCTACAATTTTTTTTCCATCGAAAATATAAATTTTCTGACAGATTTATATCCATCGAAAATATAAATTTTCTGACAGATTTATATC